TGTGTGTGTGTGTGTGTGTGTGTGTGTGTGTGTGTGTGTGTGTGTGTGTGTGTGTGTGTGTGTGTCAGGTTGTGGAGTCTGGTGGATCACGCCCTCATCGCTCGCTGTAACATGGAGGAGGCGGTGCGCAGTGTGGCGTTCAGCGTGGACGGATCCCAGCTGGCTCTGGGCATGAAGGACGGATCCTTCACTGTGCTGAGAGTCAGGTGACACACACACACACACACACACACACACACAAACAATCCATTAACTGACTCTATATCACTACACATACCACTGCCTTTGTAAACATGATGATGCTGCTTTATGGACAGTCCTACTCTCAGGAATCCTGCTCATGTTGGTTACTTTATATCACTCAAGGTCACTCACTCATACTGTAAACTGTAAAGCTGCTACGTTAGTCATTCTAAACCACTTCAAGGTCACTTTAAATCTCAATTGTGAGTTGTAAATTTAGACTGTTATTGATCCTTTTTACTTTCAAGTGTATACTTACTCCCTTTACCCTAATATTTATTTCTCACTCTTCCCATAGTTATTGTGGTTTTTTTGCACTGAATGGAACTGGAACCTCGTCGTCTCATCTCTCTATATACTGTACTGTATATAGCAGAGACGACAATAAAGATTACTTTGACTACTGTCACTCTTTTTGACTTTTAAGTCTGCAGTCTCAGATCATCACAGCCCTGCCACCCAGCACTATCAGCAGTAGGAGCAGCAGCAACAGCTACATTGTACCCCATCAGGTAAACACCGTGATAAGAGAGTTATATAGTATGATGTGATTCCATATTGGATTAGATTCTTAAAGAATGTGGGTTGTTGTTCTTCAGCCGGGTTCTATGTGCCCCTTTTTAACATTGAGCACCCACCCCTTAAAACATCTCTGCACGGCCCTGTGGTGAACAACCCTGACCCTGCTGAGGATGCACCTGGGATTATGTTTTCTCACTTGCCCAAAGTCGACGAAACCTTTCCTTATCAAATATAGTAGCCTACTTCTGGCAACAAAACAAGACAAACGTGTCAAGATGATTAACTGTTAACTGCAGTTTTGCAAACTTTGGGACTCAATTTGGCCACAAAACTGACAAAGGGACCCAATTAAAATGATGGAAGATAATGTGTTGGAATAGTGCTCAGAAAAGTTATGGAGTAGTGCCAGAAAGTAATGTAACACAAGGGTTGTAGATTAAAAAAGGATTTCAGTGCAAGCAGGACTGATAACTTACTGGGGAAAAGTATTGACAGAAACATTACAATGATATCTGAGATAATATTGACAGGATTAGATGAAACTTTATTTATTTATTGCACATTTTAGTGAGTCTATTACACAGGGATTATTGCACAGTTGAATATAAAAAAATATTACAAATATTGCACAGTGGAAAAAAAAGCACTACAGCTCAGTTGTTCCCACCCTCCTTTGTCCTCCTGTTTCTCCTCCCTCTCCCCTCAAACAAGTAGTTAAACAGTTTGATAGCGTGTGGGACAAAGGAGTTCTTAAGTCTGTTGGTTCTTGATTTTAGGAGAAGCAACCTGTCACTGAATAGGTTCCTCTGGTTATTTATGACCATGTGCAGAGGATGCCCAGCATTGTCCTTAATGTCCAGGAGTTTCTTGTTCTTTTCTCTGCCACTGTCACCAGAGTGTCCAACTTCATGCCAACCACAGAGCCAGCCTTCCTGACTAGTTTTTCCAGTCTGGATGAGTCCTTCTTTGCTGTGCTGCTCCCCCAGCACAACACAGCAAAGAATAGTACTCCGGCAACCACCGACTGGTAAAACATCCTCAGGAGCTTCCTGCAGATGTTAAAAGACCTCAGCCTCCTGAGGAAGTACAGTCTGCTTTGGCCTTTTTTATACAGGTGCTGCGTGTTGCGTGAACAGTCCAGTTTGTTGTCCACCCACAGCCCGAGGTACTTGTATGCGTTGACCACCTCCACCTCCTCTCCCTTTATCTGAACTGGCAGTGGACCTGGTCTGGACCTCCCGAAGTCCACAACCATTTCCTTGGTCTTTGAGGTGTTGAGTTGTAGGTGGTTTGTGTGACTCCAGGTGTCAAAGTTCCTCACCAGACACCAGTACACCTCTTCCTTCCTGGTCCACTGTGTTGACAGAGGGGTTGGAGGAGGGGGATGTCATAGGATGTCATGTGACTTTCGCGCATTGCATTGTAGGTACGCGTAGCAAAATCAAAACACTGCATCAAGACCTAGCACTCTGCCCTCGACCTAAGACGACTCCGACCCCAGCCTCCGCTTGCAGCCTTTTTATTGAAATGACACATCACCCATTGTAAACCCCATGTGGTGTGTCGTAAAAGTTAAAAGCGCTGTGTGTGTATGCATGTGTGAGCCTGTGTGTGTGTGGGTGTGTGTGTGCACGTGAGTGAGTGTCTTTCTGTGTGCGTGACTTTCTGGTTACAACTGTTTTAACAACATCCTTGGTCATAAAAAAAAGTTCCTCTCCCCTCACCTTGTATACGGCTCAGTTCCTGTAATGGTTCACCATACACAAACACAGGTAAGGCCATAAATGGCAAGAAGTGAACATCCTCACTAAATAAGGACAGAGAACCTTCACATTAGGGTTGGGTATCGTCACTGATTTCTAGAATCGATTCAATTCCGATTCACAAGGTCCCGAATCGATTCGATCCACGATTCAATTTAATTCGATTTGATTCGATTCAATTCGATTTGAATCTGGGAAAGCCAGAAATATTATAATTCAGATCAGTACATTTACATATTTTTGTATCTATAAAAAGGAAGCTGACACACGCAAGACTTTATCAAAGGTGTAAGCATCACAGCAGATGCCTTTGTGTCAAAGTAGCTGAGGATAAAACACAGAAAAACATGAAGGCGACTTTCCTGGCCTGTGATTTTATAAAAATCTTCTGCAGTAGATCAAAAACGAAAGAAAACCATTAATCAACACATGAACATTACCTCTGAAGTTACAGCGGTTTTATTAGAGACACGGCTAAGCGTTTTGCATTTTGCGTAATTTTAAAAAGTTTAAATTTGTTCTGTATTGAACGGCAGAAATTAGGTTTTCTTTTCGGAAGTATATAAAACGAAAAGAAAAAAAAACGTCGGCCGACAGCGCTGTAAACAACGGTAGACTTGTGCGTAACAAGCAAGCGAATAATGAAGAAAACAGATTTTTAGACGGGAAACTGTTCTTGAAGTACAGAGAGAGAGAGAGAGAGAGCTGTGCATCGTGGTCGAAGCAAAACAGTAAAAGTAAGAGTGAATACATGACGATGTTTATGTGAAGCATAGTTTGGATCTTCTTTTGCTGCTGGTTCGGTCAATATTGTTTGGAGAGAGATAAAACTAACAGCTTTAGAATCAGCTCATAAAGGGAACACAAAGCACGGACCCGCCGACAGATCAGAATCAGCGAGCTGTCGGCTTTCAGCCCCGACTGTGAGAAAGGCGACATCTAACTGTTTCTGACCTGCGGGTTTTGTCTTTGTGCAGAATCCGTGTTCCTGCTCTCATTTACTGTCTTAGCTGTTTGGTGGTTGTTGAAATTTTGTGAGATTTCACCAGAGATTCTGGCATTTCGGGCAAAATAAATTTATATTAAAAAATCGATTCAGGATTTTAATGAATCGATTTTACGTTATCCAAGCCAGAATCGATTTTAATCGATAAATCAATTATAAAAACCCACCCCTACTTCACATAGGATGTGCCTGCAGTTAAATACTATAACCAATTGACTCCCCTACCATTTAACAGGCCGGGGAGGAGAATACAAACTAAAGAATGTCTTTGATCATGTATTTTGAAACAAGATCCACAATTGTAAGCACAAAAATTGACAACATTTAACAATTCACTCTAACACCCCCCAGGTGTGGGGGCCTACTTCCTCCCACCACACTGCCTGCCAGTGGCTGATGGCAGGAAGTGTGGCACACAGGTATGCACACGAGTGTTCACACATGGTTTGTGTGTCCAAGGGATCCCAGGGGCTATGTTGTCTGGGGGCTTTTGCCCCCTGGTAGGGTCACCCATGGCAAATTGGTCCTGGGTGAGAGACCAGACAAAGAGCGAATCAGAAGACCCTTATGAAGGAAAAAAATCGAGGGAACAGTTTACCCTGCCCAGGATAGGGTTACCGGGGCCCCGCTCTGGAGCCAGGCCCAGGGAGGGTGCCCGAGGGCGAGCATCTGGT